TCATCCTCCTCTCTGTACTTTTTCTAGTAGTCCTAGCACGATTCTCTAAGCCTGCAGGCCTCATACATATGTTCTAATGGGCTAATTGTTAAGGCGACATTTGTAAATTAATCTCTGACTTGAGCTAAGTGGTTTCTCCTAATGGCTTTAATTCAGTGACTCCCATTCTTGGCCACATGTCAGATTTACTGGAGGAGGTTGTTAAAAAGAGGTGCCCAGCCTTCCCTTCCCCCATCTCATGATTCGCTGGTCCCAGGGTAGGATGAGGGCGGTCTCTGCTTTGGAAGGAAACCTCCTCAGGTGACTGGATTCTGGTGGGAGCCACCTTTGTGAGCCTCGGCTCTGAATCTGTCTCCCAAGGCCATGAAGCCTCACACACCCCCTGAAAGCACATGGGCTTAATCCCAGCGACTCAAAGCCAGGTTCTAGAACAGGGAACATCTCTAAGAGCCAGCTTTCCTGACTCAGTCACCTCTGTATTCACATCACCGAATCTGCATTTTTTCTGAAGTGCTACATCACCTGAGGGGGAATACTTTACACTTGGCTGTACTATTTTCCTTTTTCATGAGCTTTGTCAGACATTTGAAAGATCTTCAGGGCCCGCTGGGATTTTCATCTATTAAGATGGCTGTGGACCTCCCCTCTCTCCTCCCCATTTAGCACCAGGCTCCTTCTTTGCATCAGGTGTTAGACAGACTTTGTTTTTTTTTGAGACAGAGTCTCACTCTGTTGCTTAGGCTGCAATGCAGTGTCACGCTCTTGGCTCACTGCAACCTCTGCCTTCAGGGTTCAAGTAATTTTCCTGCCTCAACTTCCCAAGTAGCTGAGACTACAGGCTCATACCACCACAAATGCTAATTTTTGTATTTTTGGTTAGAGCCAAGGTTTCACTGTGTTGGACAGGCTGGTCTCAAACTCCTCGCCTCAAGTGATCTGCCTTCCATGGCCTCCCAAAGTGCTAGAATTACAGACGTGAGCCAACGCACCCTACCCTTTAAATAAAAAATTAACCATGTATGTGTGTTCCTGGTATTTTTTTGTGCAAACACATGTCTTGTTTGATCTTGGAGTTTTGAAAATAGATGACTCAAAGCACCATTGTTCCAATGACATTTATCAAATTGCTTTTGTTTTTACGATTCTGGTACACGGAGCACTTGATATCACCACACAGCAGGTGGGTGTTTTCAGTAAATCTGAGAAGGTGGCAATTCATACCTTCCAAGGTTGCTGAGGTGATTCGTTGAGCTTGGACAGATGGCAAGTTTAGTAAGCCGGACAGGCTCTCGAGCAAGTTAGCAGAAGTGCCCTGAGAGGCAATGCTCAAATTATCTGTGTATCAGACTGCTGCCCCCAAGCCCTTGTGTGGGACAGTGCTTTGTTACATGCTTGGTTATTGTCTTATTCTAACAAATCAGCTGCTGGAGGGCAGGGATACTTTGCTTTCTGGGGTACTGTGCTTTCCTTGGCTTAATTTTACCATGTCCCTTGGGCTTCTGTCCTCCTTGCCCCTGAAACTACAGAAGCTTGCAAAAGGATTCCCAGTGGCCCCACCCCTTCCTGGGGGGATATTGGAGTAGCCATACTATGTAGAAAGGAAGGACATTTTGGGAAAGGAGAGGCTATTGAAACAAGACACCTGCTTTTCCTACCCTTACCCAGTTACTAATGATCCATCTAGGCAATAGTTCATTTTATATTGGCTAAACCCATACTATATGACTTATCACTAATTGCATAATAGCATGGGATTAATCTATGTATGACTATAAAAAAAGAGTATATTTAGCCAGGTATAGTGGTTCATGCTTGCAATCCCAACACTTGGGGAAGCTGAGGCAGGCAGTTCACTTGAGGTCAGGAGTTTGAGACCAGCCTGGCCAAAGTGGTGAAACCCCGTCTCTACTAAAAATACAAAAAATTAGCCAGATGTGGTGGCAGGCACCTGTAGTCCCAGCTACTAAGGAGGCTGAGGCAGGAGAATTGCTTGAACCCGGGAGGCAGTGGTTGCAGTGAGCTGAGATTGTGCCACTGCAGTTGAGCCTGGGTGACAGAACAAGACTCTTGTCTTAAAAAAAAAAAAGTATATTTCATGACTCTGAGTGGCCTTCCATCTTCTGTTTTTCTTGGGTCTTATATATAGCATATGTTAAATAGATTACTATTTGGGGTACTCTATAATACTACCATTACCAGATAGACTAAAGTCTAACCATTTTGTTTTTTTTCAGACTTCGAGTTCTCAGACAATGGGGATTTGTTAGAGAGATAGAGAAAGAGAATAAACTGACACTTCTAAGGTGGCTTTGCTAGGGGCCTAGAAAGGCAAGTCTCTGATGGAAATTCTATTTTCATGACCACATCCGAAGGGTTGATGTGTTTTCTGTAGCACCTGGATCTGGGCTGACATTGTGATTGAGCCTGACACGATAAAGAGGCATTTAGCAAGTTTCAAGACTAAATGCACAGTTACCTTAACACTGAGCGGCAGATCATCTCCCCAGGGAGCAATTCACAGTGCATTGCAAGGCAGTTTGCCTATCCTGTACCTCATTGAGAGGAGGCCTTCCAGCTGAACATGTGGACACAAGTCCAGGTCCATTCAACAAAATCTTCAGTGCCAGGGAGCTGTGGAGGTCATTTCCCTCCTGCATTTCTTCCCTCTCTTACCCTATCAGAGAGATGCTGATATTTGAGTTTTCATCTTCAGAGGGCAGCAAGATTCCTGCCCTCCTCCTGTCACTGGCTGATTTGCTTAAATAAGGAACACATTAGTCCCCATCACAGACTCCAAGTGGAGGAAGCTGGAGCAAATTAGGATCAGCTATGCTGCCCATTGGATGCTGGGAGATCACTGCCATTGCAGAGGTCTTAGAGTTCCTTACAGAATGATGTAGATGCCATTTGCAAGGACTTCTTTCCTATCCTTTTCGGCAACAGTGGCTTTAGCCAGCTCTGACAGATGCTCAGCATTCACAGATACACACACAGGGAGCCAAATGGACAGGGATTAGTCTTAAATCAGCTGTTTATGAATGGAGAAGAGGCCCCTATCCTGGGTTCTGGCCACACCCCTTCTCTTTACAGCTTTTTGAAAATGAGGTCAGGGCCAGAGTCTAACTGCTTATGCCTCAGAAATAGCAGCACAGGTCAAAATTAATCTTAAGCTCTTTGTTTTCCTGCCTCCTTTAGATAATAGAGGAAAAATCAGAGGTCTGCTCATATTTTTGTTTGCTTGTTTTTGTGTGTACCTTTGAAAGGAACATATGAATGAATGTGTGTGAGGGGAGGGGCCGAGGTGAAGCAGCCAAGAGGGATTAGTGCTGGGCGGATGATAATTACTGATAGATTGCAGCATTCAATTGGAGCATGCTTTAGTTTTTAAAAGAAAATGGCAGAACGAAATAAACCTCAGTGGTGTATTGTTTTAACACCTCCGTTTATATGGAGATTTTATCGGTTGCTATGAAACTGCACATTCCTTTTACAGCATCCACTGTTTTTAATGGTCATTTTCTGGACTGTGCAAGCCACCATTCTGCCCCAGGAGCTCCATGGAGTTTTGCAGTGCTTTAAATGAGTATTTCATGCAGATTTCATTTTCTGTCAGCCACTTTGGCATACATACAAAATATAGATGTGTGTGTGTGTATGTGTGAAAGAGAGATTCTGTCTCTCATACACACACACACACACACACACACACACACACACACACACACACAGAGCTTGATCATGCTTTGAGATGATACATTGGGATTTACATACATTGGGATTCCTCTCTACCCACCAGTCAAGGCCTGAGAGATGTTAATAGGTGGGCACTGAGGAGACTGACTTCCAGTGCCCTTCAGCCTGCAGTCTCTTTAGGATATTAGCATACCTGAAAAGTTGACCTAGAAGCCAGGTGTTGTGTGTAATGGTGGTGCCTACTTTTTGTTCTCAGTCTTAATTGTTGACTGAAAACATCTTCTTTATTTCTGACTATTCTTTATTCACATTAATAGTCTCCTCTCTGAAAGATTAAAGAAAGTAGAATGTGTAGTGAGGACAGAGGTGTCAGTGTCAGCCTAATCTGCTACATATTCATTTGATGGACCTTAGCATGACAGGTATCCACTGAAGGAAATGCCAAAACTGTCTTCCATCAATGGAGATTAATTTTGATTGAAGAGTGTAGAGTAGGACAAAGATTGTCATATAACTGGCCTAATGGATTGCCTAATTGACTTCCTTAACCAAATTGCTTTCATGACTATTTCAGAAGTGTTATAATCACATAGATCACACATGCAATGAATATATCTTTATGTATGTGCACACATACACACATTTCTACGAGCAAATTTGTGCTCTTCAAATTGGTATCTCTTGCATAGAAGCAAAAAGTATATTAGTGTGCTCTGGGGCTGGGAAGTGGGAAAGGGGATTGATTTAACAGGCATGAGGGATCTTACCGAGACGATGAAAATGTTCTGAAACTGGATTACAGTGATGGTTGCATAACGTAGTAGATTTACTAAAGTCATTGATGAATTGTACTTTCAAAATGGGTGAATATTGTGGTATGTAAATTATGCCTCAATGAAGCTGTTAAAGTTGATATTCCTTTATTAGAGTTCCTGCAGATCTTATATTACGTGTAATATGAAAAATTATATCACCCTAAATTTTCACCTGCTCTTTTCCCACTGAAGTTTATCGACTTCAATTGCATAGAAGCTGGACTTTGAGATAACAGGGCCAGATTAAAAAAAAAAAAAAAATCCAATGCCCTGAGATATAAAAGGCTACCCTGACCCCTATTGGCAAGGAGCGAGGTTGCTGAGGAGCCAACCTGGAAGGAGTATGGTGGGCTGGGGGAGGGGGTGAGATTTCCAAGCAGGTTCCCAAGAGCAATGGGCACCATATTTCAAAGCTGCTGCTGCATGTGTCAAAAAAACCAAACATCCTGCGGTCCAGCTCTTAAGTGATGGCACTCTCCTCTTCTTTTGCAGGTTGTCTTAGTCTTTGCTCTCAGCATCGGTGCACTTGTAATATACTTCATAGATTCGTCAAAGTGAGTATTCCAATATACTTTCTTGCCCTTGTTTCATAAACAATCATGAGCCTTTATGTTGATCCATTTAGTTACCTCAACACCAACCTTTGCAAGAGCCTTCTCAGTGCAGAAGACTTTTGGAGTAAGCTGGGTCTGTTCTGTACTGATTTTATAAGTGGGAAAGAAAGTTCTCAGAAGGAAGGCTACTTTGATTCTGCTGGCATAGGAGGGACAGGTATCTGAGGTCAAGCCCTCTTGCTAGGTATTTTTTATATTTAAAGAGCTGTTTCCTGATGATGTATTTACAGTGAAGATGTCAAGTAGTTAAGATGACTTGATGGGAATTTGCAACTTCTGGGACGGTGACAGTTTCCTACAGATGAGGGTCTGAGCCATTCTTGCCATGGTTGTTAGATCCTTTTCTCAACTGGGTTTCCAATGCTTTGATCTTACTGGAGGTCAGATTGGAAAGCATGGTGCTATCCTTTCCCCTGCCAACAAGGTATTCATCAGCATTGCACGCTGGTGCTTCTTGACATGGGAACGTAAGAAGATGGATGGAGAAGTTCATGATGACTCCCAGAGGTGGAGGCCCATGGCCATTTGAGAAATTCTAGAGTGGACACTCATGCAGACTCCTTGGGTACCGGTCGAATGGACTGGTGCTCCAGAGTGAGCCTGGGTGACAGAAGACCTTGCAGAAGGATGAAGAGGCACAGACTAGAACTGCAAGGTTGTAGCTGGTTCTGCCCTGATTCCTGCAGGTGCCAACCCTGAGGACATAATTTGTTCCAACTATACTATTACAATCATTAAGTTGATGGTATCTGGGAAGCAGGCTAGAGTCTAACTCATTTTCTGTTGTGGTGTGAACTTGGCAATTCTGGTGACAGTGGCCTTGAGTGTGTTGCCCTTGTTATCCACTGTGCGAGCATTTTGAACTTTAACTCTATCCCTGGGGTGGTTGGATACTAGACTTTGGTACTAGAAAACCTGCTTGGTGTTCCTGGTGGCTCAGATCCTCGTGTGCCTGAATTCTGAGCTTAGTGCTCCTTTCCTGTGGCTTGGGATGGTGATAATTTCATGCACACCTAAACTCGGAATTTCTCAGAGCCATCTGGTCACCAGCCAAGAATTTTGTGCATTTGGGTGCAGTGGCCAAAATGTCAGTCAGGGAAAATAAAGAAAATATCTTCTTTAATAACATGTCTCTGGGAATCAGCCAAGTCTAAGCCTATCAGAGGTCCTTCAGCCCAACCCCACATGTGAGGCTGGGCTGCTGTCACCCATCTCAGATGGAGAGTCCTTTAAACACTGTCAGGAGGCAAGATTCCACAGGCTCCCTCCATCAGCTCTCCTGAGCCAAGAAAGAGAAGAGCTTGTTTAAGTTTGGAAGACTTCCATTGATATGTCATTGAAGGTAAGCCCCTTTTTAAATATTTACCCTTAATGATTCTGGACCCTATTTGAATTGAACTGAAGATCCTCTAAAGCCCCTGGTCTTGTTTCTCCCGTCTCTCTCCAGGGGTGTTGTCACATATCGTGGGGTGCAGACCCTGCCAGCTTCCATGCTGGGCTCAGGAAAGAGGTTTGGGCTTGTGGCCTGTATGCCCCAGAGAGAAAATACCCTGATGTGGAGGTGAGTGTGGTGATGGGTTAGAAGTACAGATGCCTCGGTCAGCACTTACCTTCCCTTTTTGTTTTTTAAATTTTTTTAAGCTTTTGTCCTTATGTATTTCTCAGAAATAAAATGCTCTTTAGATGGATTTGGATTGTGTCGTTTTTTACAGTCTACTACGAGGAAGTCTTTTGTTCCATAGATCCTGGTGTTCTCCATTTCCATGTGAGGAGATGAAAAAGAATGAAATTCCCCAATGCGTACCCTCTTTCCCTAATGTCCTATACCATCTCAATGTTCTTTGGCTTTAATTATGATTCTTCTTAGCTTTGGGGAAGACAGCATTGGGAGTCTCATCTGCTTCCAGTTTCTTTTATGAACTTGCAAATAATCTATGAAAAGATGTAACTTTAGTCCTGTCCTCACCTTTCTTAGCAAAAATGCCAGTAAGGTTACAAACAAGGCTATTCGCATTCTGCTTGAGGACTATCTTAGCCTCATCCCAGTTTAGCCTTTCTTCTGTGTTGCTAACTTGTGTGGTTTGGCATAGCAAGGCTTTGTTTATAAGAAGAACTTCTGGTTATTTACGTAGACACTTTTCATTTTTTTAAAAATTTATTTATTTTACTTTAGGTGCATACTGTATCTGTCATTTCTCCCCATATTATTGCTCCCCACCCCTCCCTCCCTCCCCACCCCCTGCTGTCTCTCCACTACCTACCCCCCAACTGCCCCCAGTGTGTGATGCTCTCTCCCTGAGTCCATGTGTTCTCATTGTTCAACACCCACCTATGAGTGAGGACATGTGGTGTTTGGCTTTCTGTTCTTGTGTCAGTTTGCTGAGAATGATGGTTTCCAGATTCCGCCAAGTCCCTACAAAGGACATGAACTCATTGTTTTTTTATGGCTGTGTAGTATTCCATGGTGCATATGTACCACATTTTCTTTGTCCAGTCTATCATCGATGGGCATTTGGGTTGGTTCCAGGTCTTTGCTATTGTACACAGGGCTGAAATGAACATATATGTGCATGTGTCGACACTTTTCATTTTCATGACGTCATTTGGTCCTGAGACCATATCCAAAGATTCTCTCCTGTGGCGGCCCCATCAGTGGAGTCAGCACAAGGGAGTTTTCCGTCTTCCTGGGGAAAGACAGCAAGCAAGCTCAGTTTAAGTTTGGGGGAGAATTACTATGGAATCGCTAAAGCCATCTCTATGGTAAGTTCATAGATTTACAGGGATCAAACACAATGAAATCGGGAGATCCAAGATGGCCGTTTAGGAACAGCTCAGGATCGCTGCTCCCAGTGAAAGCGCAGAGGGTGAGTGGACGCCGCGTTTGTATTGCCCACAGACTAGGAAATTCCCGGGCAGAGGTGCTCCACGGTCGCCAGCGCGGCTGTTTCGGCCAGTGCCGGCCAGCGCCGCTGCTTTGCCCCGCGCGGCTGCTTTGTCGGCGCCCCGGAGCCGCGGTTCTCCGTACAAAATACACCGGTCCGGGGGCCCTTTTGGCTGGCGATTGGAGCCACGGGACGTCACCCATACACTGGTTCAAAAAGGGGACTGAGCAGAGAACCAAGACAGTAGATTCCAGGGCCAAAAAAGAAAAAAAAAAAAGCGCCACAAACCTCAGTGCCGCTGTTTAAGCCGTCCCAGTGAGTGGCCGCAGGGGAAAACACAATGAAATCGATTAAAAAATTATAATTAAGCTTAGTGAATGAGAAAAAAATGAAGTTCCAGGCACATATGAGATGCAAATGGAGAAAAAGTGAGAAAGTAGAATGTGTAAATTCTTAAAATCCATGTCTTTCATTCAAAACTGTTACCAGTTTTACACATTCATGGTTTGGCTGGCCATCTGGGCGTTTTAGAAAGACAGCTTTAAACTTCTCATGGAAGTTACACTAAATCATCACCCTGGAAAAAAAGCACTCAGAATTCTCCAGATAAATTGTAGTTAGTATTTACACCCTTCAAATAAATGAATCGGGGGACAGTATATAGGCTTTCCCACAAGTAAATCTAATCCAACAGACATGCGTGAAATAGCTTGTCTTGGTGAATTTTAGCTAGAGCTGCCTGCCCCCTGCCCTGCCGAATGGTGAGGACTGTCCTGTAGTATAAGTTTGAGATTCCAGGCTCTCTGCACCCAGCCCTTTAAAAAGTTCAAGGAATGCTGATTAATTTATAAAACAGGCTCCTGTGGTCTGCTGGACCAGATATATCTCAAGGCAGGCCAGCTCCAGTTGTGCAAGTGGACAAGCAGGCTAGGTGGTTATTTTACGTCTGTCCATCAGCAGATGAGTAATGTAGCTTAGAGAGATGTCATCATTGGTGGGTTTATGATCTTTTTAACCTTTCAAACCTCTTCTTACTATCCAAAGGTGATGGATAAGTCACTTCCAAAGACAGCTGCACACCTTTCGATTTTGGCCATTAGGCAAAGATAGATCCCAGCATAGGGCATTTTCCTTAGGTCTGGTCTTAATGATCCTAGGGTGATTGCAAGGGAAGACTCATTTGTGTAGTCTCAAGTGAATACTGTCTAGTTAAGACAGATTGTCCTCAGAGCTCCTGGAGTTGAAAACCAAAGAGAATTACATCAAACCTTATTAAAATTATGCTCTATCATCCCAGCAGTAGACTCTCTAGAAACACCCAAAAAGAGGAAGATGCCTCTGGATCAAGTCTTTGGTCAGACATCACATCAGTGCCTTAACAAGCACAGACAAGCATTGAGCCCTGCACACACTGTCTCCACAAAGATCTCCAATTAGCCACACAAGGTGGATTGTGTACAAAAAGCTCCCTTTCATTCTTTTTAAAAGGACTCCTGCCCAATTTATGTCACATGTCACTTTAGCTCCTAGTTCTGATGTCTTCCGACACCTACACCATCCCTCTCCTCCCACACATTCTGATCCTTGTGAAGCAAAGATTTTTTAGAAACTGTACAACCAAGTCAAGAGTGCCTGCAGACGCCCTGTGGGTGCTAATGTCACCATTGCTGCTTCCATCCTTGTCTATTTCCTCCCTTTGACACAAGAACAGCAATTCTTATCTAACAGATAAGGGAAAAAAAACAAAGACCCACCAGTGTCAGCATGAGAGTGAGATTCGTGGATTGCATAATGCAGCAGTCTCTGTTGCTTTCAGAATTTCAAGAGAAAGTTGGAAGAGACAGAGGCCCAGAGCTCTGGGTATTTGCATTTTTACCAGGGGCATTCTGGGAAAGGATGACTCACATGTGTGAAGATATTTATTCCTTTGATTCATGTTTAAACGCTGCTACTTCTTATGCTATCGTTACGTGGATTATGAATATTTAATGCTGCGTATACTGAAAATGAAGGTCAAGTCCTGCTTACTGGTGACTTCAATGCAGGCTCCTTCTCTGAAAGGGAAGCTACCTGCTGTTCGCAGAGTAAAGCTGAAAGGTTATACGTTGTTAAATTTTTCCTTAATGACTTTATCTGCTCTAAAATGGCTGGCACACAGTGGGGGCGCTTGCTGATGTTGCCAGTCTTTGTTCTTGGCTTCCGATATCAGCACTGCTGTTTTAGGGATATGGACCTTAGGAAGGAGGAGGGAAGAGCAGCACAAATTTTGTAGAGCGTCTCACCCAAGGGCCCCATTGCCAAGGCAACAGGGGGGTTATGATTGGAAAATGGCATCTTCTCCATCTTTTAAAATTTTGCTTTTGCGTCCACTCACCCATTTATTCATTTTGTATTCATTTATTAGTTTGTAACATCTTCAAATGTGATAATACTGAACATTTTCCAGGCAGTAAAATTGCCTATGGTTAAGGAAAACTATCTTTAAGACTGCGATAGAAATTGACCAGATTGTTTTCACAGTCTCTGAAAATAAAACTGGCACCGTTGATGTAATGGGGATGCCCAGAGCTTTAACAGAACTGGTTAGTTGACCAATAGTTTCTCCCACTCCAGTCTTCGCATAGCCTGGCCTCTCATCCCTTGGCCTAGAAATTCTCTTTCAAAAGAAAAGAGAGGGCAAATGATTGGAGGGAACTAACATTCACTGATTATGTGTTGTCTGTGAGCGACAGGGCTAGGCACCTTACCATAAATAGGGCACGCAACCTCCTTGAATTCCCCTAACAACTTCTTAGGATAAGGTATTACTATTCCCACTTTACAGATGAGGAGGCCGAAGCTGCAGACATAGCCCAACCCATATAGCTAGTAAGCAGTAGAGCCAGGATTTGATTCCAGCATGGCTCATTCTAAAGCCATCTCTCTTCTAAGCATCAAGAAGTAAACTTCCAGATTTTGGAAGTAACTGACGGGGTTTAATGAGATGTTGCAAGAATGGGAAGTTGCATCACCTCATCCTGCCAATGCCTTGGTCTTGTTTTCTCTTTTGTTCTTCTTTTCCCCATTTCTCATCCTGAGAATCAAGAGTGCAGTTGTGGGTACACAGGAGGCTCCTATCACAGGCCTTCCACGTAAGACACTGCCCTGGGTCGGGTGCTGTCTGATGTCTGCTTGGACTTTGATTCAGTCCTCCCTCATAATGGCTTAATAAGACATACTTCTCTTTTATCTCAGTGGAGTGGCAGAATTTTGCAATGGGATGGGATCAAGTGAACAAAGAACAAGGACAGTTGATTGTTTCTCATGAGCTTCTACCACCTAGGGGTGTCTTTCCGAGTAGAAAGACTCTTTGGTCTTCCTCCCCTTACCTAGTCTGTCCCTGTGATTTGGCATACTGAAATAGATATGAGAAATACTGTTTCCCATGAGATACATTCTTTTATCTCTTTTACAGAGTTGCAGAATTAGTTGATTACTTATAGTTTTGCATTATGTAACACAATATTTATATGCCTAGAGAGTTGCTATTATCAAACTAATGGACTTCAGGAAAGTTTGGCCCCAAAGAATGGAGGCCACATAGGATGGAGGTTTTTGAAATGACAAAGTATCTGGCTTCCTTCTCCAACATTGTTTTAACTGACTCGGTACAGGTGTAGACCCACTGCCTCTCCTGTGCTCAGCCCCAAGACAGACACCTGGGAGAGCTGTGAGGACAGCACACATCCCATCCCATTCATGACAGTGCATTTTTTTTTTTTTTTGAGACGGAGTTTTGCTCTTGTTGCCCAGGCTGGAGTGCAATGGCGCGATCTCAGCTCACTGCAACCTCCGCCTCCTGAGTTCAGGCAATTCTCCTGCCTCAGCCTCCTGAGTAGCTGGGATTACAGGCATGCGCCACCATGCCCAGCTGATTTTTTGTATTTTTAGTAGAGACGGGGTTTCACCATGTTGACCAGGATGGTCTCGATCTCTTGACCTCGTGATCCACCCGCCTCGGCCTCCCAAAGTGCTGGGATTACAGGCGTGAGCCACCGCGCCCGGCGACAGTGCGTTTTTAATTATAAGGGACTATGCATACCAGCTTTCCCTATCCCCTTTAGCACACCCCATCCTGCAGCGCGACCAGATGGACAGCCCATGACATAGAGAAGGAAGCTCACCAGCATGCTCTGTAACCAATTCCTTTATGGAACACAGCCTTTCTAGGTAGCGTTCTGGAAAATTAGCTCCAGCTCACCGCCTTCGTGCCCTTTTTGAGAA